TTGAGAAGTGTTGGGATATGCTGTAATTATGAACATGATATTGCTTCATGAGACATTTTTACACATATTGTGGGTGATTTCTATTGGTTTTCTAGGATTTGAAGTGTTACTGTATAGTGGAGGCACATGCTTCTGCTCATGTATTCTGTAATGAAGCGGGCTTACAGAAAAAAATTAAAATGATGCATCTGACGTTCTCACCCATGACTCCAGGAGCTCAGGCTTTAAGAAAACCACCAACTCTTTTAAAGAGTCAGAAACCCTGTACACAAAAGGCAATAGTGGATGGAAAAAGTGGTGGTGACCAAACAGTGCAGTATCACTGAATACTGCGGCTAGTAAAGCGAGCAAAACGCTGGCTTGCATCCATAGATGCTTCTAAGCAAATCCTGGGACTTCATTCTCCCCCTGTGCTCGGCCTTGGTGAGGCCACAGCTGGAGTACTGCATCCAGTTTTGGGTTCCTTTCTGAATTGTGGTTGTGGAGAAGCTTGAGAGGGTGCAGAGGAGAGCCACACACATGATCAGAGGTAAGGAAAACAGACTTTATGATGAGAGGCTGAGAGCCATGGGGCTCTTCAACCTGGAAAAGCACAGGCTCAGGGATGATCTGGTGGCCACCTATAAGTTTATCAGGGGTGCTCATCAGGACAACAAGATCGAACAGTCACAAACTCCGCCGCGACCGATTCAAGCTGGACATAAGAAAGAACTTCTTCACTGTCCAAGCCCCCAAGGTTGGGAATAGCCTGCCGCCGGAGGCGGTTCAAGCACCCACTTTGAACGCCTTCAAGACACATTTGGATGCTAATCTTGCTGGGATCCTATGATCCCTGCTGACTTCCTGCCCCTGGGGCAGGGGGCTGGACTCAGTGATCCTCCCGGGTCTCTTCCAGCCCAAATGTCTATGAAATCTATGAAAAGAAAAGATGTTGCCCTTTGAGAGACTCATCTATAGACAGGCTCTTAAAACATTGGAAGGCAACATGTTGTTATAGTGCAGGGAACCAACACTTAAAATACTGTACAAAAGTTAGGCCTTTCATTAGAGCCAGTTACATAAGAAAACACTCTGTGTTGAGGTCACTGAAAACAAAGATGAATTCCAAACAGGTAGGATTTTACTAGCTAACTTGGATCAGAGGCAACAACACATGGAGAGACATTGAAGGAGCTTGCTGAAACCTTTGGGGCAAGAGACAATAAAGTAGAAGGTGGAATAAAAAGACTGCAAATTTTAGAGAGCTGTTAAGAGAAGCAATAATAGTACAGAATTGTGTCTCTCTGAATCCAATAAGATGAGTGGGAGCGGTTTCCACGTCTTTGTTTTAGCTAATCACGGTTGATATGAGAAGTCTCTGAGCTGAATAAGCAATTAGGCAATGAGATTACTTGCCTACAGAGGTAGCCATCACTATTAATAAAAAGTGTTCATAAATAGGTCAGATAAAATACTAGTGTGATCACTGGAGAAAATGATCCCCTCTGCAGAGGCTGGGGCTGTTGACATGAGAAAAATCTCTCTCAACCTGCTGTATCAATAGCAATTCTCGAAAAATGAACAGTGAAAAGTGAGAGGAGGTCTCCTCGGTTGCAGGGGTTGGTAGTGCTTAGTCCTCAGAGAATCCTGGAAAACCTTTATGAAGCATCTTGCAAACTACACTACAGAGATGCAATACATTTACTGCAAGCTAGTAGCATTATACTAGGGACGCACTCTAGGATCTAAAGAAGGACAGGTTTCCCAAAATAGATGTTCTACTTGTCCACGGAGATAATTATGACCTTGTATAACTACTATTGCATAACTACAATATTTGGATCTTTCAAGGTGGGAAGCAGGAGCCACCAGGCACATTTTCTTGGGTGGACACAGTGTTATGTTCTGGCTGGAAATTTAGTTCTTGTGTGGTCAGAGAGAGGAATACATCTGAGATACTATAACAATAAGAAGAGTGCAACACAAGGTCAAATACAACATAAGGAAATACCTATCTTTTATCCAAAGGCTTACAACACAGCACAAAGATATCAGCTTTGATTGCCTGAGGATATTCTGTCCAGATGGTATCCACCTGTCTGATGTAGGAAATTACTTATTCCATTTTCAGATGAAAAGCAGAAGATTTGTGTACAAAATACACAAATAAAAATACAGTACAGCACCGATGGGAGATTTTCTTTCCAGCGAAAGCACACAGAGGACAATTTACGCTAGTTAGAAATTTAAGCATGCTTATTAGGTACTCTCTCTGTCAAGCTATATTTTTTAAAAGGAGAAGCCTCAGCAATTTACAGTATGGAGGGAATGGCTGTTTAACCAGGCTAATGCCGGCCACACACACAGACAGTAGAAAACTTATATACAGTACATGTGTTTGACTTTTAAGCATTCACGTACGCTATGGTCAGTTATGTGCTTAAAGTTAAGCATGTGCATGGGTTTTTCAGGACTGAGGTTTCAGAATGTAATAGAGCCTCTCTAAGCAAAAAGACCACATTTTCTCTCCCCCTCTCCTTTTTTATTTCCCACTGTGCCATGGAGAGGCACTTTCTTTTGATTTAGCTGGGAAAATGTTCTTAAGAGGCAAGATGCTATATGCCAGTTTTCAGTCTGTTGTAAATGTTTACAACCCAATAATAAAAGAAATGTTATAAAGTTAGTACTGCAAACAGAATCACAGGAATTATTAGTAGTAAATATCTGCTTTAACTGTCATGTATAAGGCAGGACTAGATTATAGCGACAATACTGCAGTGGCTTGAATTCCGTTTTGCTTGATACTTCACAAACTGGTATATTCCCAAGGACGAATAAAATACAAACAAAACCAAACTGGAAATTCATATGGAAGCAGGTGATAAAAGTTACATAAATATTTGTTTGCTTTCATACATTATATTCATTGCAGAGTGATTTGTTGGCCATTTATACAAACAAACAACTTTACTTCATTAAGATAAGTTATGTGTGCGCCAGACAGTAAAACAGTAAAAACAGTTGCATTCACAATAAACAATTAATCTGAAACACACTCATGCAGGCAAATGTTGATTAAAATTGTTGATTAGAGCTACAAGAGTATTTGCCAACACATATGCATCAAACTATTTGAAAAACAAAAAGGGGGCTTGTCTGAAATGTTCAGATTTTTTTTAAATATAGATCTCAAAAGTGAAACCAGAACTGAAACTCAACCAAAGAAAATCAGAATACTTTTTAAATGAAGGGGGAGTAGTTTACGCAGTAACCTGCATGAAAAACCCACGCAGGTATTATGGACCTGAGGAAAATCACTAGAAAAACAAGATTTAGCAACTTCAATAGGCCCTGGGAGTTTAGTTCTCAGAGTTTTATTTTATGCCCCCTAAATTGAAATTGTAGGTTTTTAATTAAAACCCACCATTTCAATTTTTCTATCACGTTATGGCAAGGGGCCCAACCCTTTTTTTTTTCCGTCCCCCAGCAGAGCCAGAGCCTGTCCACAGCCAAAGGGCGAGCTGCTAGCAGGCTGAACAGCCAACCGGCCCCGGTCCTTCCCTCCGAAGTGGTGGTGCCCCTGGGGCAGCCAGCAGCCTGGATGCTGCCCCAGCTCCAATGCAACACCTGGCTCGATCCAACTCTTCCCTGCCGCCACCGCGGAGGGAAGGACTGGGGCCCCTGGCCCACCAGCAGCTTGCCCTTTGGCCACAGAACAGGCAGGCAGGCCTTCACCAAAAAAAAAGGATTGGGCCCCTCACCATTTCTGCCTTCAGCAGGCTCCTGTGGCCATCAGGGCGCCTGGGGCCACCTGGGAATGCTCTGGCTTGCTCCTCGGGCAGCACAGGGAGGTGGCAGGAGAGCAGCTGGGTTTGCTGGCGGCTGGAGAAGGCAGTGGAAATGGTGCATGGGGCTCTGGAAGCCCGGGTGGGCTGGTAGCTGGCCGGGTGCTGCCCCAGCTTAGAGGTGCCGGATCCAACGCTTCCCTGAGCCCACCAGCGCTTCCAGAGCCCCATGCACGGTCCCTGTCGCTTTCTATGGCCGCCAGCAAATTCAGCCGCCCTCCTGCCACCTTCCTGCACTGCCCCAGCGAGGGCAGATTCTTTTTTTCTGCAGACCTTGCCCACCTCTGCCACGGCCGGGGGGCAAGCTGACAGCTGCATCATTGCAATTTGTAACATTGCAAACTAAATTACATTGGGATGTAGTTTAGTTTGCAAGGATGCAAAATTATTTAAAACCCTCAAAATTTATGCACGTATACTATGTGATGCCATTAAGCCACACCAAGTGACATTTTCATCACATGTACATGGTAATCATGTCACGTGTACAAGCACCCAGAGGCCCCAATTCAAGGCAGCAATAGATACAGGGGTACTCAGCTACCTGCACAAAGTTAAACAGGATTGTCCTGAGCAGTGATGGATTTCACCATGTGCAAAGGCACCTTCCCGAATTTAGGCCTATGAACCTAAACACTTTCAACCAGAGATGGCAAAAACTAAGAACATTTAATTACTTGGTTTCTAAACTTCTACTTAATGTTTCTAAACAACATTAAGATGTTCACAAGTGCCGTATAACAAAAATCTCTCCTGTTAGAATATTTGACAAACAGGCACTTAAGGAATAGGAATCAAAGAACAAGCTACTTCCTGAAGATTAATGACTGGCTGGGCAAATGTGGATCATCATTAACTCATGAAGCTGGGCCCTGAGCTGTGGTCACTACTGCTATTAAGGAAGAAAGGAGTTTAAATAGCGGTGTTCTGTACAAGGCATTTTTAGAGGAATTAGCATCTGGGCAAACAGCCAGTCAATAAGTTCTTCTCAAAAATGTTGTGAGCGTTATTATAGCATACAACACACTCTGAAAATTAGCAAAGCCTGCTAATTTTACTCACACAAATAGAACCGCTAATGTCAAGTGCTCACATGAGTAGGGCACTCTATGAAGAATGCACAGATTTGAAGAATGTAGAAAAAAGATGAAATCACAGAATCTTTCAAAAGCTTACTTGTCATGTCTCCATTTGCAATAAGTTTCCTTTTCAATGGCAGCACCACAGTCTTGCTGGACAGCCGATATTTTAATTTAAAAAAAAAACAAACACAAAGAGGAAGAGAATTACACTGATGAGGCAAAATGTTTGGGGCGATATCCTCTGCTATGCAAACTGGGATTCCTTTACTATCTTTAATAGAGCTATACGGATTTACAGCAGCTAAGAAAGTGACCCTCACTGGGTTGGGATTCATCCCCCTCAAACCTTCCCTCCAAACCATATGCCCTCCTTCTTCCTGCAGGTCAACACACCAGTGAGCAGTACAGATAGATGTTAATATCTGTACCCGTCTAAATACTACTCTACAAAAAAAGAGGTGGGGGGAAGAAGAGGACATCAGTCCTCCAAATTACATTTCAAACTTTCATTAGTGTCAGAGATATGGAACAAATTAACCACTCAGGATTCACCACTGGGCCTTTTTTCAGTGGCACTGAACCTTTAACTGAGAAATTAAAATGTTTAAGGTTTTGCTCAACTCCAAATTCACAGCAAATAAATGGTAACTACCCTAAGACATTTGGGTACTGACTAGAGAGTCTTAATTGTAGTGCTGTGGCAAGGAAGTTTGGCACCTGGGGCAAAGCCCACAGCATCAGTCTGCCCTCACCCTGCGCACAGATCTGGGGGGCACACATCCCCCCCCCATGCTTGCCCAGGAGTGCACACAGCAGTGGGAGCTGCCCTCCCTCCGTCCCCGTCCCCTCCCAAACAAGCTGCTCACAGATCCATCCCACGCCCCACCCCAGCTGGGCAGCACCTGCTGGCGCCCCTTCACTTCAGCTCCCATGGCGGTCGTCCTGCTCGACCCCACCCTTGCTACAGCACTGCTTAATTGCCTAACACCTAAAACATAACCCTGAGTTACATTCTGCACAACAAAATCTTGTATGTTTTTCATCTTGATTGTCCATATCAGAGTCGTATGTGTTTGTACTGTGTTCATCTCCACACATCTGTTCATGTTTAAGTGCATATTCTATCTAGCCAGTTGCCTGTGGGCTTGGGGATATATTACATAGAGGGTGGGGTATAGTCAACAACACTGAAATTCTGCAGCCAACAATATTTTCACCATATAAATGGTACAGAAGACTTTCACAGCTGCCATCAGCATTGTTACTGACATGGGCCAAAACTTTTCCCTGCTGTATTTCCACAAGTAGCAAATCTGGAATCCATGGAAATGGAGAGTTCTGGCTTCATGGCAGGCTCTCCCCCTCTCTTCAATATCACGGGCAGTCACCAGGTATTGGGCTCTGTAGGAGGGCAGACATGGGGACATCCTGCATGCGTTAATTTTGTTCCATCCACAATAATATTATGTCCATATTAACAGTTAGGGATAACCTTCTGGCCACCCTAAGGGCCAAAGCTGCTTACTATCTACAGTGAAAACCCCAAGCTCAGCCCCTACCAACAATCAAGCCCTCCCACAAAATCTCAGCTAAACTTCAAAGGTGTGAGGCCAAACCTTACCTGCCCAGTCACCTCTCCCTAAAGCATGTTTGGTACTTACCTAGATGCTGCAGGCTGCAAGCATGGGAAGTCTGTCAGTGCTATCCCCGTAATTCCCTATTCAAGACTTCCAGCCCTTCTGCACCCCATTTCCTGTAATTAGGGTAGCACAAAAGAAGAGGCAAGTAATTCACAGATTGATTCCTAGAAAGGAACAGGGAAAACAAGATGGGCCACCTTGGCGTAAGCCAGCGGTTCTCAACCTTTTGCACCTTACGTCCCACCAACCATTTTGTCAAAAACCCCTGGTCCCCTATGATAAAAACAAAACCCCACAAAATTGCACTGTTCGAGATATCTATCGATTCATCTATTTGAAGTGCAAACAACTGATTTTTTTCAAATCAGGCAATGAGTTGAAGTCCCACCTACATGACCCTCGAGTCCCACCAGTGGGACATGTCCCACTGGTTGAGAGACACTGGTGTAGGCAACAGGTAAGATATAGATAGGGCAGGACAACTACTGTGCCTTGAATTAATTGGGGCAACCTGCAGCGCTGACCATAAACATCAGTGTGGACATACCCCAACTTTCCCCTCTTCACCTACCATTCAGTGAAAACCCTCTGGACAGGAAGGATGCTTGGGATGGTTATTATGCATGGTTGGGAGCTGTGCTGCCATAAAGTGCTGCACTGCAGAGGCACTGGCCTTTCAAAGAGATACCCCAAGTTCTGTCAGGGCCCAAACACCACAGAGGAAGGTAAACTTGGCCCTTCCAAGGGGAGAGTCAAGTGAGACCTAATTCTTTATTGCCTTTTCCACCTTATACAGTGGAGGACTGGATAAAGGCAAGGGCCTGCCCACCACAGAATATCCACAGGACAAGGGCTGTATGGTCCTAAAATGTCCTCCACTGGTGCCCCAATGTACAGGGCATACCGAGGACAAGACATGTCACCAGCACACAGCGTCTTCTGCAATGATCCCTGGAGGCCTGAGGCTGCTGAGCATGTTAGAGCTGCCTCTACTCTGGCACCAAAGCTGAACTTGAAACAGCCTTGGGATGGGGCAAGCACCAAGGCAACAGAAAGCTGCCCTTGCCTCTTCCTTCTGTGCTGTTGAAGTGAAGAACCAGGATGTGGAAATGAATTCAGAGCATACCCAGGGAAAAGCCCACGTTGGGCGCCACTTGGCTGACAAAGACATTTGACACCCTAGCCTAGAACCCAATCTTTTCTTTTTAATTAATTGAGTTGCAATATTTCCTTTACACGGTTAAAAATGATAATAATAACAACAACCACCACCACCACATTCAGGACTCTAAAGGAGGCTGATAAGGAAATCTACTTAATTAGCTCTAACTTGCCAGTGATCTCTAAGGGCCCAATTCAGCCATAAAAAAAAAAGAAGTCCAATTTGCATACTTTGGATGTCCTAGTTCATCTGTTTCTGCTTTTTTTTTTTTAAGCCAGTGCTAAGTGAAACTGGTTTTGTTGTTAGTTTCTACTCCAGAAGGCTGTGAGAGGATGCATATTAAAATAACTAATCCTCAGTTCTGCATGAAAATGATATGCAATTCTGAATACTCATTTCACTGTCCTTCCTAGAGTTAGCATGGATCAGAGGGGTTTCTTTAAAAAAATAAAACAAAATAAAAAAAAAAGAAGGCAAGCCAAAACCATCCCCGCTGTAGAATGCAACAGTGATGCCATTTCAATCAGTTCTAGCCACCTCTGCGTTCTAGCAAAACCCAAAGCCCCAGAAAAGCTTTTCAAAAGAATAACTGGAAAATAAGACCCTGGGCAGAAACCTGTGAGCCAAAGGGAATATCCAAAAAGAAAGAAATGTCAAAAGTAGCAAGGCAGGAGCTGCATCCACCAGGCTGAACAAGATACAGCCAATGCAAATCTACAGCTTGAAGACTAGACTACAGATCTTCCATGCAAATGCTATCACCACCTCAACATCTGGATGCAAAAACCAGAAATCCACCAGGGGCAGGCAGAAATGTCTAAATGCCTCCAAATGCAAATGCCTAAAGAACATGATAGGTAGGAGATGGAGTGCCTTTATAACAAATGTTAATATCTGCCCAAGGAGTCAACAGCTCCTGATCTCCAGTTTTCCAACCAAAAAAAAAAGTGAAAATATCTGGAACATGCATTAAAAATGAAGCCAGAGAATCTGCTATGGCAGATAAGCCAGTAGGCAGCAAGAGGGATGTGAGAAAGGGGCCGACTGAAAGACTATCCCCATCACACAATATATTCCCAGAGGAAGAACTGACGAGGACTAAACAGCGTAGAGGACGCGGAAGAAACAGCCCAGAGTACGCCGAGATGGGGAGAAGCCCTGTTCACCTCCCAAGTGATGTTTGCCTCATTCATAAACTGGGAATAATTGAGGAACGTGGGTCATCAAGCCTAGTCCTTCGTAATGACAGGCCACCATAAAATAAGTGTTAGGCCCAAAAGGATGCACATGAATATCCACCCCAGCCCCTCACACACACTACATACCTACGCAGCAAACTCAGGGAGTTAGTACTAAACATCCTCAGTCCTCAAAAGCAAGAGCGTTGCACAGGAAGAGACCAGACAAGACAAAAAGAGCCACCGACGCCCAGCTGAAAACCTTACTAAACAGCCTACTCCAGTAATTAAGAAATTTATTTCATGAATAACTAATGACCCACAAGAAGTAAACACAGGTCTTTCCATTGGCTTTAATGGGGCCTGGATCCTGGTTCTATTTGCTCTTGGCTGAAGCTCATCTGGCTAAAGCTTAAGTTATTATTATTAATTCTTTCCCGTATTGACTACAAGCTAATTCCTCACGCTATTTGCTTGACAGTAAGTGCACGTGTGTTTGCAGGAACAGGGCCCAGATGAATAAATAAGCGTAACAAGCAGGTGAAAGTAGATGCCATGGAATATCGACATATACAGAGGCTCTCAGCATTAAGACTTCATATAAGAATAAAACCAAGCTAATTCCTTAATACTGATGCTCATACACATAACTGACATGTTCGACGGAAGCTGAACGCACTTAGGCTAGGGACAGACATTACATGTAAACCGGTTTAAGTGATCAGAAACTAGTTTAAACCTGTGACAGAACAGATGCTCAGTGCACATCAACCAGTTTGAGAACGGCTGGAACCGGTTTGAGATAAACCTGGTTGAATGTAGTCTATCAGACTTAACTGATTTGGCTCAAGCGGGTTTATGCAATATCTGTCCCGGACCTTAATGCAGTGTTGTTAAACTTATCTTCACTGTCTGATAGGGCTTCACAACTGGGAAGAGTTCTTTGAGCAACTACTGTCGGTTTCTTTCTAGCTTGTAGCTATCCAAATAAAGGACTTTTGTGAAGATTAGCTTTACTGATCCCTCAGAAAAGACTCTGGGTCTGATGCTCCCCTCTCCTGAACCATGTGGAGGTGTTTGCTCCTGTACAAGCAGCGGTATTCTTAAACCCACTTGGCCCAGACATCAAATGACAGCACAAGGCCACAGAAATTCAGACCCCTAATCTTTTGTTCTCATTAAACAGATGCTGACAGTCCAACTGGATCTGCTTTTTAAAACGGTAATAGCCACATCACGGTCCATCGCATGCTTGCAGGCAGGCAAGGGTAGAGAATCAAGTCACCCAGGCACTCTCCCGAGCCAGCATCCGCACAACAGGCAAGCAGTCTCCCAGGATCTCCCCCTCCCCTCCCACACAGCTGGGTAAGGAAGAGACAGAGTCCTGGCTCCACTGCTTCCCCCACCCCGGGCACTGCCCCAAACAGCTGCAATTATGCCTTAATTGGAATAATCTGCGCTAGGTACAGGACTGGCAACATTTCTCCCACCTTCAGGCCATAGTGAGAGTCTGGGAAGTGGGTTGTGACTGAATCAAAACTACGCTAGACACAGTGTTCTTGTAGGAACTTTTGTGCACATTGACACTAATGCAAACCCACCGCTAAAATAAGAACATGCAGAGGGCAAGCAGAGAGGAAATCACAGGAGTGCAAATAAGGAAAATGAGGACAGAGAGAAACCGTCTCATTCACTTTTACAGGTTTCAGGCATACCAGCTCTCCAGTGCTGGAAGTGAACAGCTTTCCATGTCTGAATAAAAAAGGACCACAGCAGACTCAAACTGGCGCTCTGCTTAAACTCGGCTGCCGTTTAAGCAGAGCACCGAAATCCACAGCATTAAATTAGCCCAAAGATATGAAACCTGAAAGGACGAGGAGCAGTTAAGCATACAGCGTCGCAGCTCGCTTCCAAAATGACAGCCTCTGAACAAAGTTTGCCCTGTTAACTCGGGACAGACGTGACACGTAAACCGGTTTAAGCGATCGGAAGCTAGTTTAAACCTGTAACAGAACAGATGTTCAGCGCACGTAGACCAGTTTGAAAATGGCTGAAACCGGTTTGAGATAAACCTGGTCGGATGCAGCATCAGACTCAACCGATTTATGCCGCGTGTGTCCCAGACCCCAGCGGCCGGCACCGCAGAGACGCGCGCCCTGTCCTCGTCACGCGCCCAGCGCATAAAGCGTCACCTGAAGCCCTTCGAACTAATCCTTGGGCTGGAGGAAAAGTTCCCTGGAAGCCCGGAGGCGTCCCCCAAGTGGAAGGAGGAAGGGGACAGGGTGGAGGGGAGCTGCTGAGAAGCCCCCGCTTGGGGTTGGGAGGGGAGGGGAGCCCTTACCAGCCCGTCGCAGTTGCTGATGGCCACCGAGGCGTTGGGCAGGTCCGCGATGTCCCCCACGTAGAGGCAGGCGGCGGAGAGCGGCTCCAGGCGCGGCGCGCCCGCCTCGTC